TGAAACCATTTTCAAAGCCTTCTTTAATTAACTTGTCTTTTCTCCCATTTTGGATAGATTGTGAGATAAGGTAGTAAGCTTACCAGCTTCACTGGGGTCTGAGCTTTTTGGAAATGTACCACTTTACTGACCTCTTTTATAGCAACGAAAATTAGGGTGTGCACTTGAACAGGTAGCGCATTGATGCCGGAATCTACAATTATTTAGCCACTTACATTGTAAGCCCAGCAAAAGCCTTTTTTCTGTGCAGCACTTGTAACCTGCTTATTGACAAAATTAGGCTGTCTCTGAGGTAACATCATGCTCACCCAAAGTCCGACATCTTTCATACCTCATTTAAGGTTACTATGAACCGCTAGTTTCTGTCTGAATTGTTTTCTTTCTTGTACTGGCCCTTTAATTTTTAGAGGCGAATATAATGCTCCCTCCTCCATTATTAACTCAGCCCCTTCTTCGTCTACTTGAATTTAGACCCGAGGTGCTGGGGGTGGACTCCAAGCAAGCCTGCAGCCATGCAGTATCACTGCAGCCTAGAGCCTTCTGCTTAAACTGTTCCAACAAAGCCTCAATTGTGCCAGACATCTCCACAGGTAGAGAACAGCAGCTCGGATTGGTCTGGCACAAGCTGAGGTAATACATTTTTGGACGCCTTTAAATTTCTACCCCTGAATTCCCCTCCACTGTGGTCCTCGCGCTGCTATCTACCAATCAGAGCTCTTGCCTGGGCCGCGAGCTTACAGCCTTTCTAACAGCGCGAGCTGTCCTGCCGTTAACCCTAGCCCTGCATTTAACCCTCAGCGCGAGCACTATACTTCCCCACCAACTCCGCTCCATCAAACCTCATGAGGCTGCTCCTTATGCAGTCCGCGTGCCCGACATTAGCTGCAGAGGGCATTTCTGTAGATTAATAAAAAAAAAAAGGGAACATTACATGAAAAAGATGCATTTCAAGTGTGTCGAATTAATCAAATTCCTTTTGGTGGGTTTCTGATTTTGCTCTCTGGCACACTTTTTTGTGTGTGCCACTATTGGACTGCCTGTATGTTTTTAATTTCTGTGTATTTAATTCATTTTATTTGTATACAATATACAATTCTTGTGAAGAAAATGTATGAACTATGTTAATCAACCACTAGGTGGCAGCCTTCCACAGGATATCATACGCAAAATCTCTACAAGGGGTAATACAAAGGCACAAGGATAGTGTAATACTGTATACACACAAAGAATACTAATGATTCAAGGTTAAACTCACAAGTGTAGTTGGTATATAAAGCTCATCGAAATGTAGGTAGTAGAGACCTTTCCAGGTAATCTGCCAGATATTCAGAGATGCACACTTCATTGTCCCTGAGGAAGTCTCTGAATTGAAACGAAACGCGTAGGACTGGTTCCATAGGTGCTGCACATATATTTTTTAATTTTTATTTACATTGTTTATTTTTACGATTTAAGGACGATTGTATCCAGCCCCCAGAGGTGTTATGATGGAATTTTTTATCTACACATATCTTGTAAGTGGATACAATAAAGCAGTGTATTTTATATTTAATGTGCTGCACTGTGGTTTCCATTTTTTATCTTTACATGCATCTCTGAATATCTGAAGGATTACCTGGAAAGGTCTCTACCACCTACATTTTGATGAGCTTTATATACCAACTACACTTGTGAGTTTAACCTTGAATCATTAGTATTCTTTGTGTGTATACAGTATTACACTATCCTTGTGCCTTTTTATTACCCCTTGTAGAGATTTTGCTGTATGAATTTATATCGAGGTTTTTAGAGGATCCCTTTTTATCTACCAAGCGGTTCTAATTGGAAGGGTAAATACCATTTCAATTTCATATGTGTGTAACACATGAGCACTGCACTTTTTGGTGAATGTAATTTTTAAGCATTTTTTCCACAGGATATCCACTGTAGGCTTTTAATACAGGGGTACGGCTCATTTTAACCATTTCGTCTCATCGGCGCTGTCTCTGTATTTAGTATAAAGCAATGTTTCTCCACTGCCCACACTCCTCCACGGCAGCGCTAGGAGGAAGTGATATCACATGCTGACACTTCTTCCTAACGCTCTATGAAAGCTACGCAGGAGGGAGGAAGTAGCCCAGCACTATACAGAGCCTGGGGCCAGATTCTGCAAATCCGAGAGAAGGGGGATGTGCATAATCCTGCAATGAGGGTGGGACTGGATGGGTCACTGTGTGTGTGTTTGTATGTGTGGGTCACTGTGTGTTTGTATGGGTCACTGTGTGTTTGTGTGGGTCACTGTGTGTTTGTATGTGTGGGTCACTGTCTGTGTCTATGCGTCACTGTGTATGTATGGTACAGTGAGTGTGTGTGTGTATATATATATATATATATATATATATATGTCACTGTGTGTATGTGTGGGTCACTTTGTGTACTTATGGGTCACTGTGTGTATGTGTGGGTCACTGAGTGTATGTGTCACTGTGTGTGGGGAGGAGGGTCACTGTGAATGTGTGCGTGTCAGTCAGTGTCTATGTCAGTTTGTATGTGCATTTATGTCTGCATATTTGTGTGTCTGTGTGTGGCAGTGTATGTTTAAATGTCCACACGTCATCATTCAAACAAATACACCCCTGCATTCAGATGCAAACATTACACACAAATGCACACCTACATTGAAATTCCAACACTACACACAAATGTGCAACTGCATGCAAATGGAAACACTACTCACAAATACACCACTACATTCAACATTCTGCTTACAAACACACCACTACAATCCTGCAAGCATGGTAAAATGGTTGATCTGCAACTGGCAAAGCATTGTAGTTAAGCCATCCGTCTTTATAGCCATCCTTGTGCAAGTAAATCTACAGCTCTCCCATTCAAGCCCTTCCCTTCTTTCTCATTCAAACCCCACCTCAGCTGCATTCTTGCTTAAACCCTCGTCACATCCATGTACTGCCCACAGTCTCAAAATAAGGAAGTGTGTGCTAGCTAAAATCTGGGCCAGCTGCCAGGTATGTTCGATGTATGCCACGTAACGTGTCTTTACTCAAATCGTACATTACCTTTACTCCATGGGGTACATTTACTAAACAGTAAATTGTAAGTGCAAAATGCAAGTATTATACTTTGTCCCCAGAGCTGTACAATAAGGAGTGCTAAATGTTTAAATCCAGGGTAAGGGACAGGAAGAGCTCTGCTTTTTGCCACATAGCTCCTAAACTACATTAAAACAGGGAACACCACCAGGACACTTAGCAATAGCAGCCTAGACGCTAGTCTTTCTTATGACAGAATGCATTCGTTCTGCTCGCTGTTTAATAGACATGCCCCTACGGCATGATGGGTGGGGAAATGAGGGAGCATATTAATCTCCCTCATACTTAAAACGAGGACATGGGGGTCATATTCACCTCCTAACTTATTTAGTCCTAACCGATTTACGGCATTGGGTGAGATGGGAGAATTTATGGAGCAGTGATAAGCATTTTCTACTTTTGCAAAAGCCGGTAGCTGCTTCCTTTAAATAAAAAACAAATAAACAAACAACTGCGACTGATACATTGCATGGATGATATTTCGTCCTACAAGCCAGTCTTTGTTTCTTTCATTGCCTTTTGCATTCGGCAGTTCAACATTCTGAATAATTGCTGAATTGCACAAAATATTTATATATGGAACACAATTTAAGAAAAAAAAGTGTGAGAAATTAAGTAATTTTATTTTCCAAATTCTGCAAGGCATTCTAACTGTGAACTGGGAATATTAGTCTTAAAGGACCACTCTAGGCACCCAGACCACTTCAGCTTAATGAAGTGGTCTGGGTGCCAGGTCCTTCTAGGGTTAACCCATTTTTTCATAAACAGAGCAGTTTCAGAGAAACTGCTATGTTTATCAATGGGTTAAGCCTTCCCCCTAATCCTCTAGTGGCTGTCTCATTGACAGCCACTAGAGGCGCTTGCGTGCTTCTCACTGTGATTTTCACAGTGAGAGCACGCCAGTGTCCATAGGAGCATTGAGAATGCTTTCCTATAAATGGTTGAATGCGCGCGCGGCTCTTGCCGCGCCGGCGCATTCAGCCGATGGGGCGGATCGGAGGAGGAGAGGAGGCAGAGAGCTCCCCGCCCAGCGCTGGAAAAAGGTAAGTTTTAACCCCTTTCCTCTCCCCAGAGCCGGGCGGGAGGGGGACCCTGACGGTGGTCCTTTAATGTGACGCCAAGTATTCTGCAGACTATACATAGAGACTCATTGACACCTGATGGAATGATTGGAATTCCAGCGAGCTATGTAAAGAACAAAGTACACAGACGGCGTTATAGCTCTGATGAAGACCAGATATTTAGGTCGAAACGCGTTTGCTCCATTCTGTAATACTGTCCAGTGCAGAGACGTATTAGCCGCAAGGCAAACAAGGCATTTGCCTTGGGTGGCACTTTCCAGGGTACGGCAAAAAAAGCCGCCCCCACATATACAGGCAAATGTCTTGTTAGCCTGGCGGCTAAATGACAATCCAGGAGAACGGGCGGCGCTGGCGAGGGAGCACTGGTTAGTGAGCTCTCTGCTCAGCTCCCTCACGCGCCTCAGAGTGATGCCGGGAGCCGGAATATGACTTCATATTCCGGCTCCCGGCATCACTCTGCGGTGCGCGAGGAAGCTGAACAGGAGTGACTGAGGGAGAGGGGGACAGAGTGACTGGGGGGTGACAGAGTGACTGGGGCGGATGGGTGGGTGAGGGGTGACAGAGTGACAGGAGGACTGGGGTGGTGTGACTGAGGGGGGGGGGCACAGGGTGACTGGGGTGGACTGGTGACAGAGTGACTAAGGGGGTGACAGTGACTGAGGGGGGGTTGACAAAGAGTGACTGAGGGAGGGGGTGACTGGTGACAGAGTGACTGAGGGAGGGGGTGAC